TCACACACTCTTCTGAGATTAACTGATCGCATCAGTGCTCCCCTCTCACTATCTATAAACTAGTTGATTGAGGTGTCGTCCTCCAGTCCCCTCCCCCCCGCCTCTCTCTCTCTCTCTCTCTCTCTCTCTCTCTCTCTCTCTCTCTCTCTCTCTCTCTCTCTCTCTCTCTGTGTGTGTGTGTGTATGTGTGTATGTGTGTGTGTGTGCCTGTGTGTATGCGAAAGCGCGTGTATTTGCGTGCTCTAGTGTGCCAGAATACGTGTGTGCGCCTTGTGTTGGAGAGAGGTGTGTGTGTGTGCGTGCATGTGCACACGCACGTACCGTCATCGGAGATCAAGAAGTATAATCAAACTGGCTGGTTGAACTACGAACGCATTGTCACGTGGAAGAACGTGAAAACAAACCTGCAAGCCGTCAGAGACGATATCGTCGCCAATTGTGCGTGCATGCCCTCGCTAATCGGATGAGAAGTAAACTCTTTTGCGTGTTCGCGAATGAACTATAGTATACCGCTGGACAATGTTTCGCCACGAGGGGATGGGACAAAGGCAACGATGGAGTGATTTAGGGGAAGAAAAGGAAACCAGATCTCCTGATTGATAATCCTGCCCTACCCAATCAAGGCGGAGCCTTTCCTGGGTTCAAACAGTCTGTCTCTTCGTAATAGGGAAAAAAAAATTCGTATAGATCTCCTAAACAAGAGAAACGGAATCCAAAACAAGCTCACGCCCATTGCTCATGTACGAGGCGTCACTCCCAAAGCCTCAGAGGCAGGCCCAACAACTGCGCTGTAAAGCATGGACCTGGCCATAATAACCGTCATGTATGTGCTCTTTTTAGCATGAAAGAAGAACCAGCGGAGCCTGGCCCTTATGACTGCCAACAGGTCTCACCTTTTCTACATTCCCATCTCGCAGTTTTACTGACTGCCTCAGCCCCAGTCTTGGCGTGAGCAACCAAGCACTACTACTACTTGGTACAAATGAGGCCGATAAACGATCAAAACATTCTGCACAATAATTATCCCCATACTTTTGGGTCTCCTCCTCCTCATCATCGTCATCGTCCTTCTTCTCATCAGAGTCAACAACAGTGCCCGCAGAGTTCCAACCTGTAGAAGCGATGCAAGGGCAAACAAAGGAAACAAATCTGACATTCCACTCAAGTGACCACACTCACCCTTTGCCTGAGCAAGTAAACGGATACCACAGGACGCTCCGCTACGTCCCTTAGACGGCGATGGAGGGGGCGGAAGGAGAGGGGCAAGGCGGGGGGGAAGGAAGAGCTAGAGAGTAACAGGGACCTAAACAGACAGAAAGCAGACTAGACCGATACAGCGGTGAGACGCAGCAAGGTCGATCAGATCAGGCAAGATCGGAACAAACGGGCAAGCGATTGACCGATCGAGCAACTGACCGATCAACCGGCAAGACCGAGTCCGAGAAGGATGTGGGCGATACTCGTGGGACAGTATGTGCGGCACGTTCGCCGGTGCAAGCGGCCTGAAGCGCACCGCGAACGGATGCCGCAGCTCACCACTAAAGGTAAACAATAAGATACAAGTACCGTCAATGGTAAGGAAACCGCACGACGAAGCGAACGCGATGTCCACTGGTAAGGATAAGGGGAGAAGGAAAAGAGAGCGGGAGAGGTGACGAAAGAAGGGAATAGACATGAAATGGTAGTAATAGGGAAAGGAGGGAAAGGGCAACGAGGAGGAGGATAAGGGGTGATGCGGAGGAGGTAAGTCGCTAGGAGGAAGTCGGGGAGGGGAGCAGGAGGAGGACGAGCGGAGCAGGAGAAGCAACAGGAGGAGGAGGAGGAGTATCTGCCATGCAACCAGGAAGCAAAAGCACGTTCTAGAGGAGAGGTGACCGAGAGGAGAATGAGACATGGAGAAGAAGAAAGAATACAAAGACAGGAATGGAAAAAGGAAGAGAAAGACAGGGATGAAAAAAGGGATTCGACAGGAACGAGGGACACCGGCGGGGGCACCTACCTGTTTTTTATCAAACAGAGCGTCGTTTTCTAAAGGTAATAGTACTCGCACCATCTTCGCTTGCTCCTCGACCAATAAAACACCTGCCTTTTTGCCTGCGTCTTGTCCGATCAACGCGTTTCCCCCTGTTGATGGGGTTATGCAGAATGCTTAGCAGAGAGCGCCGCATGCAGACTGGTCCTGCCCTGCTATCAGTCTTCCCCGTTCACGATGCCGTCACTCTGCGGGTTGTCGACGCCAGTGCGACTGCCTTCATTTTCCTGAGCAGAACCAGTTCCTCGTCGTCTCTTTTTTCGCTTCGTTCTCTCCCCCGAGTTTCCCTCTCTCACACCCCACCAACTCTCCCGCCACTGACAGACCCCCTCCTCCTCCTTCACGCCCACACGCCGGCATGCCAACCTGCCGACCCCAGTCTACTACGCGCTGTGAGACGTACGATCGTAGCGTCCTTGGTCCTCGCCATGAGGCTGTGCTCTTCGTCAGCCCTGATGCCGAGAAGCCCACAAGCGAGAGACGGGCAAACGAGGCGGAACGGACATACAACAGCGGGCCGACGTAGACTGATGACTTCAGACGTGTGCTCGCAAAATTTCGGCGCTAAATTTCGTTTGGAGCATAAATCTGTTGAATTTGCCCGCATCTTCAGCGAAAGTATTTTTGGCGATCTGGCGATTTTGCGATTTGGCGATTTGACGATTTTGCGATTTTTTGTACCTTTTGTCTGTCGACGAATTTGGACCATTTCTCGAGTTGTGCGTGCCACCCTTGCTGATCTTCTCTGTTTCGTTCCATTTCTGACGGATGTCCCGCCGAAAGGCCGTCGGCGACAGAATGGCGATTTGGCGATTTTCGCAATATTGCCATTGGCGATTTTGCCGACATGCTCTCCCAGCAGTGCGTACGTACGAGATCCCAACAGTCCTCACATGGACGGGAGAAAACTCCGTGGCGCTTGGTCCCTTCCGTAGGCTGCCAAGATGCGCGCTAGTTATCAGCTAGGGCGCGTTCTCACAATACTCGCACTGTCCGCCTTTCCATCTTTTCAACCTTACTGAGCCGGCGGGGCCGTCATACCTTTTTTTTTTTTTTTGGGTGGGGGGACGTCATACGTTGGGGCGTCGCCGCACCACGCACCGACCGGAAATTTGCTCGTTCGTTCACGAGTTCTCACCTCGGGCGAAAGGGGTGGAAATTTCATCCAGAACGGTTGTCCCCGCGCTCACACGCGGAACGAACCGAAGGTCTGTGTGGGACCGACCGACGACATCATACCATATACCATACTGCTGCCCCTGACCGAGGACATCTCGCCAAAAATGCGGAGGGTCCTTCAGGTACCTCCCACTCAGCTTACAAGAGGGGGGGAAACGGGGAGTTTCGCACGTGCTCCCAAATTCTCACTATCATCTTGGAATAGACCTGCCCAAAATTCGAGAATTCCACTCATCTACCTCCGTCGGGATTCGAACTCGGGCCTCCATTTCAACAGTTCATGGAGGTATCATCTCAGATAGGGCCGGTGGTGATTTTCGCATCTCCGATCGTATTTGGTGTCTGATTTTCGAGGTAAAGTGGGCGCGGCGGCCCCTAACTCACCCAAAGTCGTTCCTGCTAAGTGGTCAGGAGAGGCCCATCATTTGCCCACAAGGCTTCCTCCAACTGTCAAACGCTGGCATGCCAGGCCTCCGAGGGAGCACTTCGCGGGCACTTTTTGCGGGGTCCTCGTCAGCCATGTCTGATTTTCAGCAGGTTTAGGGCCTCGCCACACTACTCCCAACTTGGCCATTTTCGGGATTGCAGCGTTGCCACACCAGCTCCCTGAGTTCAACCTGTCAGATCGAATTTGGGAGCTGTCAGAATGTGGCTCCGGAGAGCACTCCCGAATAGCTTGAGCCTCGGCCATTTTCGGGAGACCTCTCGTGGAGGCCTGTGTTCCGCTCCTGTGCAGACAAGCACTCTCCTCACAGTTTTCATCGCCACATACTGGACAGTTTGTGTCTGAAGTGCGCCTCCTGGCCTCCAAATCGGAGAGCGCCCCAAGTCGGGAGTGCAATGTGGCGAAGCCCACTCCCCAATGGATTTTCGCTTCTTCGGACATTGGGGAACTCCCAAAATTTTCCTCCAAGTCGGTAGTAGTGTGGCGAGGCCCGTCTCCTCCGACTGCTTTCCTTCTTGAAAGTTTCAATTCCCATCGCATGCGGGTCTGTGCCCAGGCCAGGCCGAAAAGAAACAGGGTCTCACACAAGAGCAGAGCGAGCAATGAGGAGGACACCGCAAGGACCTCTTCAAGTTTTTTTCATTTTTTTTGGATCTACCCCTATGAGACCCTCCTCCCACACTGGTCAATTCCCCCCAGCGCATCGCTACTCCCCCTGTCCTACTTCAGTGTCTACCCTTCAAGTTCAACGGTCTTGGCGAGGTGACGTGACCTATAAGCTATTGTAGGCACCAGGGCTGAGCAGGAACCCCACTGCTGATTGAAGGACATATTGTAAGGGTACTTTGGGCGCTAGGTGTAGGCTTTCTTTCTGCAGATCCATGGGTAGACCGTAATTGTCCCCAAAACTTACCCAGGCTCTCCAGTGTCAGAATCTAGCCCTGCAACCCTTGATATCACAGGCCGTGTAGACACCCCTAGCTAAGGTCTAACCTATGACACTCCTTTGAGCAACCCGAGTACACCCACCTAGCACAGCTGGTATCAATAATTATGGTTGTACTGTGATAAGCCAGGATCCGTACTCGGCGGCTTCTCGTACCCTTAAACCACCAGTACTTGGTCCAGCTATCAAGTCCAAGCCTCGGCCGACCGGTATGCCAAGCCTTGCCGAGGCTCGAACTACCCGGCGCTGACTTCCCAAACGTACTTGTAGAAAAACATGGAAAAACGAAGAGGAAGAAAAAAAAAAACACAAAATGCAAAAAGCAACGACAGAAAAAATGGGATTTACTCTATTATAAGAAAAAACATGGAAAAAAGAAAAAAAACGGGAACTACCTCAAAATGCACAAAAGACAATAATCATGACGGTGTATCTTTCCATGTTCTGGTGGAAGATTCACGTATGACGCCCAACCTCACGCCCGGCGCGACTTCCTGATCGGAGTGGGATGTGGGCCTGGAAGTGCGAAAAGGGGTGTGCCAAGGATTTTTGGAAATTTGGGGTGGAGTCCCAGGTCGGAACTGAGATCTCCCGTGGCAGGATTCAGGGGTATAGGTGCAATAAGGGACGGGTTCGTCTGTAAGGCTAAGGGACAGGTTGTTCCCGAGCTGAAGGTCGTAGGTGTCGTGCAGCATAAGGCGGATGGCATGCGTGGTGCATCTTGGGCCGCCCTATCCACCCCTGTCGGTTCGTGGCTTTAGTACGCAAAAGGGTCCGTCGTGGGGATTACGGCCTTTCAAATTGGGCCTCCTCGTTTGGACGCATGGCGGCTGGCACCACGCGTTGTGGTTACGCTGGGTAACTCCGGAGGTTCGGGGGTTGTCGTGCTGTCTGCAATTTCTGCACGGCGCGTGGGGCCAATATGGGCTATGGAATCCCACGGTACCTACTGTAATCCGATGATACGGGAGAAGGAGACGGAAGGGAGGGAAATTAGACTGAGTGGAGATGGCGATGAAGCCAGGGGATATGAAATAGTGCCTGTGACGGGCCTCCGGGTAGTCAGGACCCCGTGGGTCGTTAGTAGTGGCATAGTGGAAGTCCTCCGCGCACACCCGATCATTCTCCGACTGACAAGGGAATTCCGGGTACGGTCGCGGAAATCCCCACTGGCTTAAGTTCTCGCAAAGGGGAAATTTCGTACCCATCCCAATACTGAAAGTGCCAAGTCCATCCAGTGATCGCGAACCGCCCGCGTGTGGACACGTGTAGGCTGCGTTCGTTGGATCGCGCTTACATGTGCGCACAAGAGGGGCCTGGTCGTACACGTGTCCGTTGCCCGACTCCTATGCAAAAATGAGGTTCAAGTCTTTTATACAAAATCGCCATGTGGCGAAGACAGACATCCAGCAATCCAATCATTTCGTAATCCCGTAATCAACAAACATTTCCCGATCATGCAAAGTGACTCCGCATCATTGTTTGTGCATACATCAGACACCGCAACAGCATCGACCCCTTTTTCTGGACATTGAATAGATCACGTGACGAGCGAGAACGATGAGCAATTGACGAGCATGTCATTCAACCATCTCGTATACACAAAACTCATCCATCCCATCAGACACACCAAAAAAAGGAGGAAGGGTCGAAACTGAGTAAAGCACCAGACAAGGGCCGAAGCCGAGACAAAGGTGTCAAAAAAAAAAAAAGGGCGGATCGCTCGAAGCCGAAATTAAAACTTATATACATGGACTGAAAAAGACAAAGAAGATTGCAATCCCACATCTATCCACCTCA